CAAAATTTCCTCTCTTATTGTGCAGTTACGGCCCTGACAGATAAAATAACGCCCTTTTTGCCACAATGGCACATACTACCCAATATTTGCACACTTCACAGCTGAACAAGCTACCCTTCCTGTTGTCGTATTCCCGGATGTAGTACGTAATTGCACAAAAACATGTACTGACTGGAGATCGTAGATCATAATAACTGAATTTGAAACTTCAAATCAATCAATGTCTATTTATTGCGTTGCTTGGAGTGAAGAATTGAATTTCCTGATACTCCGCGTCACTCTTGTTTTTTTTTTTACGAAAAAAAGTTGCAGAGGGAGTAAATATTCTAAATAGATAAGTAGGCAAACAAATAAAAACTAATTTTAAAAAAATGCAAAAAGGTAGTAAATAGTAAATAAAGAGTAAATATTCTAAATAGATAAATAGGTGAATAAATAAAAAATAATTCAAAAAAATGCAAAAAAAGATTAAAAATGTTTCTACTGAATGCCTTCATCACACATTTCACCTGTAAAAGAGTATGAGTAGCGCGCAGAGGATTGCAGTTTGCTCCGCCCCCTCCCACTGCGGCACATCTATCAATCCTGAGCATAAAAACACAGTGCCTTTTTTAAACTTCCTTCCCTATTCGAGTGCAATTTTCTAACGCGGCTGTTGGTCACAACCACTGAATTTCGAATTTAAAACCAATCAATATCTAGGAGTTGCGATGTTTGCTACTGAAGAATGAGTTTTTTCTTCTCCTGGAATCCCATTAAACTAAAACCACGAGAACTTGGGAAAATGCGGAAATAAATGTGAAATTCCCAGAAAGACTTGTGCTCACCTTATTCTCCGTGATCCTGCAAACATGCGACTAGCTTCGAGTAGATCAAGCAATGGAAATCAATAACTATATTGGAACCACTGCTAAAAAACATAGTAGAACTTGTTTTTTTTCTTTAAGCTGCTAAGCACAAGCCCGAAAATAGCTGACACTTTGAGGATAATTCCTCTATAAACGTCTATTGTGGTGGATTATTCTCGTCTATGCACATTTATCAGACAACATGCGAGTGCCGGCGATTTTTTGCCGCTCAGTGTTAGACGCAGACGACAGGGGTGGGCATAGAACAAGAGGAGTACAGTTTTCGTCTCATCTTTTTCCTCTTCCTGTTCATTTCTAATAAACAACCCAATTTTTGCGAACGAAGACTAGAGGATTAGCGACACAACAACACATTCCCTAGCATTCGTGCACCTTCGTACACATTAACAACGAATCGTGCACTGTCGTGCACAAGCGTGCTCGGAGCAAAAACTGCGAAACCGGCGACGAAGCAACACAATCGCCGACATCCATGCACATTCGTGCACGTTCACACGGATTCGTGCACAGTCGTACACAGCCACACATAGCCGTGCGCTTTAGTAGTCGCGCAGTTTGCGCACACCTGTTTTTATGTGTACGTATTCGTGCACACCCGTGTACAAGGAACTCCAAATGGCCGTGTGCAAGCGGAAGAACTTTTCGGCAGAGACACAGAGGTTCTGCGTGTGACTCTGGTCGTCTGCTTCTGCCAGCAGCAGAAAACCCGAGTGCTACGCCGCGCCGCGGTACCGCCTCTTGCACACAGCCGTTTCGAGTTTCCTGTTCATGAGTGCTATCTGCCTGCAACAGAATCTAATGGTTATTCGGGCATTGGAATAGATCATTCGAATCGAATCATTCGAGAACTCAAATATTCGAATTTTTCCGGAATATATTTGAAATTCGAATATTCGAAATTTTTCGGAAATCTGCAAATACATGTAATGTGTACATCCGTGCAAATTTATCCGCAAAATTCCTGCAGTTTCCAAAGGACATGACCTCGAGTTACAGTATCACCATCGAACAGAATTTCTGCATTTTTACGTGCAGTTGGAAACATTTTGACAATTAGCCACTTATCTCTACATACCTGCAGTCAATTTTCGAATTAGTCCTACATATCTCTCCATAAGTTTGCAGTGAAGAAATTGTGAATACATGACAGTTGTCCGGAGTAGAACCATTTATAACTGTTGTCCTAGTTTTTAATTTTTGTGAAATATAACGTGTTTTTGACCTGAAAGAGGAAAAATTCGTCAAGCTTTAGGAGAGTCCTGGAGGAATTAGGAGAGAAAAGAAAAATGTCCTCATTCGTCTTCTTCATTAGTTTTTCCAAGGATTTCCGGATTTTTCATACTCTCCACTCTTTCTTTTCATACTCTTCATTTTTCCTAATCCTCTTCACTTTCAGTTGCTGCTATCGACCCAAGGAAGACACCGTCTCCGAGCACAACCAAGTGTTCGTCATCTATCACCCGAACGGAC